AATAATAAAATAAGAAAAAAGGAAAGATGTTAAACAATAAAAAATTGATAAGAAAAAAATTATTATTCTTATTAAAATAATTTTCGCAACAATTTTTGATTGATAAAAATTTTAAAAAAAAATTAAAATTTGTTGATTAAATTTGCCAACCTCTCAGATGTGCCAAACGTCACCGTATATCCTTTAATACCTACCCTGGGTAATTTTTTATAGTTTCAAACCATCGCTGGATGGGGTAATTAATGGAAATGGCGTAATTATTTGAGGGAAGGCAATTAATACAGATTATACGGTATTCATTTATTCCAAGGAACAAAATAATTAAGAAGGTCTCTATTTTTAAATTTATTTAAAAAATCAATGAAAAAAATATTTTGCATATCCACAATTTCACAACTACTTTATTATCCCTTTTCTATTATTTTTAGTTTCAATTTAAATATTTATTTAGCTTTAAAAATTTTAAAATAGCTTGGAGAGCATCAAAGGAAATTTAAAAATTAATTGCGTAAATTGAGGGGGAAAATTTTTTTTAAATGAGAAAAAAAAAATAAAAAATCTGCTGTTTAATCAAAATTAGATAGAATGAGAGAGAATTGAGAGAAAAAAGTTTTTCTTGAAAGACAAATCCTTCAATAAAGAAATACTTCAATAAAACCATTATCTGAAAAATAAGCTTAAAATTAGAATGTATTTTGGCTGGAAAATTTTTCAGAATTAAATAAATTATATTTTTATGTTTTTTAATTAATAAATTAAATATAATTATAATGCATATTTTATTCCGGAAAACACATTAAATATAATTCTGTTCCGGAAGGAAAATACAAGAATAAATTTATCGAGAAAATATATTCCGGAAAACACAAAAAATACATTTAGTTTCAATAAAAATTCCGGAAATATATTAAAGCAGAAATATTTTCCGGAATATATTTAAAAATGTATTTTTATTCCGGAAAATACAATAAATATAATTCTGTTCCGGAAAATACACAAATAAATTTAATATAAAGTATGTATATTCCGGAAAGCACATTCCCACTAAATTAAATAAAAATTCCGGATAACTTTTAGGTATGTATATTGAATTAAAGCGGAAATACTTTCCGGAACATAACTATAATGTATTTTTATTCCGGAAAATACAATAAAGTAAATTAATTTTACGGCTGAAGATATTATATTTCCGGAAAACATTAAAATTCCGGAAAACACATTAAATTTATTTCCGGAAAACACATTAAATTTATTTCCGGAAAACATATTAAATTTATTTCCGGAAAACACATTAAATTTATTTCCGGAAAACACATTAAATTTATTTCCGGAAAACACATTAAATTTATTTCCGGAAAACACATTAAATTTATTTCCGGAAAACATATTAAATTTATTTCCGGAAAACACATTAAATTTATTTCCGGAAAACACATTAAATTTATTTCCGGAAAACACATTAAATTTATTTCCGGAAAACACATTAAATTTATTTCCGGAAAACACATTAAATTTATTTACGGAAAACACATTAAATTTATTTCCGGAAAACACATTAAATTTATTTCCGGAAAACACATTAAATTTATTTCCGGAAAACACATTAAATTTATTTCCGGAAAACACATTAAATTTATTTCCGGAAAACACATTAAATTTATTTCCGGAAAACACATTAAATTTATTTCCGGAAAACACATTAAAATACATAAATCAACGTATTTTAGAATAATCAGAATTAATAATGTCTTTAACATTAATTATATTATTTCTTCTACTATTGCAATTACAACCGTGTTATTTTCGAATAGAAACGCAACATGAACAATTGTTAGAGGCAAAAAACCATAATCAACCCCCAAACAAAATATCACAAGAAAATAAGCATTTATTTGGAAAGGAAGAGAAAGCTCTTATTCCCCATGAAAAACCTAAACCGAATGAAAATTTAAAAAATTCTGACAACAAAATTAAATCAGAAATTAAAGTAAAGGATGCTGGGGAAAATAATCCTCAACCAAAATTACACAAAATTTTTCTTGAATGCGCAATTAAGGAGAGAATAAAACCTGGCCAGAAAGCATCTGTCCTTCAAACAGTACATTCATATGCTAGAATGAAATATATTAATAATGCTCTGTTTTTTGTAAGTTTAATAAAATCAGAATTTATATGAATCAGAATAGGTAATTTTTTAAAAGAAAAAATCAGAATTTTTATTTTATAGAATCAGAATTTTCAGAAATAAAAATCAGAAATTATTTTTCAGAATTTTTTCAAAAGTCAGAATTTTTATTTTGTAAAAATCAGAATTTATTTAAAAAATCAGAATTTATTTAAAAAATCAGAATTTATTAAAAATCAGAATTTTTATTTTATAAAATCAGAATTTATTTAAAAAATCAGAATTTTTATTTAATATAAAATCAGAATTTATTTTTCAGAATTTTTTTCAAAAATCAGAATTTTTATTTAATATAAAATCAGAATTTATTTTTCAGAATTTTTTAAAAATCAGAATTTTTATTTTATAAAAATCAGAATTTCCAGAAACAAAATCAGAAAAAATCAGAATTTTTAAAAATCAGAATTTTTATTTTTCATAAAAATCAGAATATTTTTTAAGGGGTTATCAGACGATGTATTTATTGGGAGCAAATCATTAATTAGCAAATGTGTCGAGGATAAAGATGCAAATATAAAAATTTACGCAAAACACATTGTTGAAACAAGGTGCAAATTAAAAGACGAAGGAGTTACAGAATTTAAAATTACTGAAAATTTTAAATTAAATTTAAAAAAGAATTCTGAAGGAAAATGTGTAAGGAGTCATTTAGTTACTCATAAAACTGCACACCATTTTGAACAGTGAGTAAACTTTTTAATATTTATAATTATTTTAAATGAGGTTAAGAATGTGGAGAATTGATTAAAATTAATTTTTAAGTAATTTCTTGAAAAAATAAAAAAAATATTAATTAATATACATAATGTAGCTTGAACTTATGTACCCTGACCACGCGCCTTCTGGGCTCTATATCTCGCCAATGGATTTATCTTCAAAATCGTTTATAAACCATTCAATAGCTGATTAAATTTACTATATAATTGAGGAAAAAGAAAAAAAAATTTTCCTAACATTGATAACAAATTTTGAGTAAAAATCCCTTCAAAAACTACGTGTTTCTTACTTTTTCGTCTATAACTTTTTTTCCAATTTATTTAAATTTATGAATTAAATTTATTTTACAACCAATTTAATTCTCTATCTAATAATACCAAAAAATATTTTTTAAATTAGTAATAAGAATTAAATAAATTTAAAAATTAAAATTAAGTTATGTATGCAAGAGAGAAGATTGTGAAGTAAAAATGGTACTAGTTGAGAGATATGGAAAGGATAATGGGATTAAAAATATTTTCTATTCAAAAATGGATTATAGTTTTGAATGTTTGAAGCATCACGGATGTGGCAAAGTATATGAGTTGAAAGAAGGTATTATCAGAAATTTTGTAAGAATCAGAAATTCTGATTTTTATAATGAAAATCCGTGTAATAAAAATCAGAACAAAAAATCAGAATAAAAATCAGAATTTAAATTTCTAAAAATCAGAATATTTTCCATTTCAGTCCATCCAAGTAGTAAAACCGAAAATGGAGTTAAACTCAAACAAAACAAACTCTTCCAGGAGTGTGCAGTAAAACGAGATAATAATATTGAAACACTTGTGAAACATGTTGAATTAAGTCCAACACAAATACTTTTCTTTGTAAGTTCGTTTAAAAATATTTGTGTATTTTCTTGAATGTTAAAGTCAGAATTATTTTAATAATTAAATATTGTAATTTTAGGACACGTTATTATTTGCCGGAAATAATGAAAATTATTCTGATTTAATAAACTCCGGAAAATACATTAATTATGTAGAAAATTCAGGATTCTATTTTATTAAATCTATTAAATATACAATCCGGAATTTTCTCATTAGAATATTTCCATTAATGTATTTTCCGGAATATTTCCATTAATGTATTTTCCGGAATATTCTCATTAATGTATTTCCGGAAATTGTTTACAATCAGAATTATTTACCTACTATTTATTTAGCTGTTTTGTATTTTCCGGAAAAATAATTATTTAAATAATCACTCGGAATATTTTCTATAATGTATTTTCCGGAAATAGAAATAATTTTCCTAATTATTCAAATTAAATTTAATTATTTTAAAGAGCAAAGGAGAACATGTTTATCATGCAGGGCTAGCACAAATTAAACAAAATTGTGAAAAAGATAAAGCTGCAAAAATGAAAATACCAGTTAAACATATTACTCTTGTATTGCGAGGAGAAAAAAAGAATAAAATTGTTTGGAAGGATTATGAAGAGTTTAATTCAAATAAAAAATCTGTTGTGATGGTGATTAAACCTTTCTTGGGAAGTACAAATAGGCATTGTTCTGCTATGGCGGCTAATCATTATTACCAAATATTTTTGTGTCGAAAGGTAATAGTAAAAGAGAATTAGACGTTTTCTGGAAGCAGAATTTGTTTTCCGGCCAAAATAAATTTTTAGAATATAAATATTTGTGTTTTCCGGAATATGAATTAAAAATTTAATTACTGTAATTACTCGATTAATTCCCCGCCCTCGAATAATTCCCCACTCTCTATTAATTCCCCATGCCAGGGATGAGGTGAAAAAATAATTCCCCGCCCTCGAATACCCTATTACATGTTCAAATTTCAAAACTCAAATAATTCCCCTCCCTTGAATAATTCCCCATGCCACGGATGGGTTGAAAAAATAGTTCCCCAGGGGAATTAATCGAGTAAATACGATATATGTTTTCCGGAATATGTATTAACTTAATTAAGCTTTCCGGAAATAATGTATTCTTAATGTATTTTATCCTCTTTACTAATAATTGGCGTATACTAATTTTTTTGAAAAAATTTAATTTTTTAGGAAGTTTGTGGCGGTCATGGAAAATTATTTTTGATGAGGAAATTAAAAACAGGAAATAAAGAACAAACAAAACTAATGAAAATGGATGAGGGGGAAGATGTACATGTTACACATATTTTTACTGTTGAACAAAAAAGTGAAGTAATTGATCAAATAATTAAAAGGTGTAAAGGAACTGAACATGTAATTGAGGGAGGTAAATAATTAAATTAAATATTTTCCGGAAAATACAAATTATTTTTAATATTCAGGAATATACTTAACTATTCCGGAAAATACAAAAATACAAAATTGTATTTTTATTTTTGTATTTTCATTTTTCCGGAAAATACAAAAATACAAAATGTATTTTTATTAATTTTTCCGGAAAATACATTAAAATAATTCTGAACTATAAATAATATTTTCCGGAAAACATTCTGTGTTTTTTTAAAAACATTCTATTTTCCGGAAAATACAAATTATGAAATCTGTAAATGTTTTCCGGAAAACACAACGAAAGAATACATTTTGTATTTTTTATTCTGATTAAATAAATATTTTTTAGTTACCTACAAGGCTCCAAGTGCTTCCAAAAAACAACATCCAAATAATAACAAAAAGCCTGGTCATAATGAACAACAAAAACATAACGAAGCAAAACCGGAACATCATGCAGAACACAAGGATGAGCCAAAACACAAGGACAATTCGAAACAAAAACCTGAGCATCATGCAGAACACAAAGACAATTCGAAACACGTGGACGATTCGAAACACGAAGAGAGCAATAAAAAAGTGGAGCCGGCTGAAAGAAGGGGCAGAATTAATAGCCCTAATAATAAAGTTGAGGTTAAAAAGGAAGAAAGTCATCAAGCAGAAAAGGAGAAAGGTGAAAAGGGCCAGAAAGAAAATAAAATAGCTGAACATAGTGGACAAAAAGATGGTCAACTTAATAGTCTAAAAAACCCAAAAAGTAGTCACTTGGAAGAAGAAAAAATTAAACATAAAGAGAATATTAATAGCAACATTGAGAAGCCGGTAAGCGATTTAAAAGATGGTACCAGCGTTGATAAGGAGGGAGAAAAGAAGAATGAAGTGAATAATAATTTACAGCAAAATATACAAAATAAATTAATAGGTGAGCTAATAATTCCGGAAAAAAATATTAAAAGAAACAAATATTAAAAGATAAATATTTCCGGATCATTACAAATATGTTTATCGGAAAATACATTATTCTTTTGTATTTTAATTGAATATTTTTTCTTGAATATGTTCCGGAATGTATTTTCCGGAAATACTTGAGAATATTCAAATATAATAGAAGAATAATTCCGGAATTTAATTAGTTACCGGAAAATACAAAAAATATTATTAAATATAGGACGATAATTCCGGAATGTGTTTTCCGGAAAAATAATTAATAGACATATTCCGGAAGAAACACATTAAGAGATATTAACCAAAATACATACATTCCTGAATGTATTTTCCGGAAAAATAATTAATAGGCATATTCCGGAAGGAAATACATTAAAGGATATTAACTAAAATACATATATTCCGGAGGATGTATTTTCCGGAAAATAATTAATAGACGTATTCCGGAGGAAAACACATTAAGAGATATTAACCAAAATACATACATTCCGGAGGATGTATTTTCCGGAAAATACATATAATATATTTATATTCTTGGGAATAAACATCCCCAAATTACCTATGTTAAAATAAAAATAATTTTTGCAGAAACAGCATTAAACAATAAGAAGCCTGTATTAAAATTACTAATGGACAATTCACCGAATATTAAAGCCTAAAAGGGAGGAATAAAAAAATCAACGTTGATTGGCGGGATTTTTTATTAAATTAATTTTTACATAATTCTGTCATTTTATAAATGGAAGAATTTAATTTTGAATAAAAATTTTGCATTAAATTTTATTAAAAAAATTTTTTTTCCACGTAAAATTTTTTTCTCCGCTTTAAAAAATTATTTAGACAAAAATAAACAACAACTGTCATTAAATAATTTCCCCTTTATTTTTAAAAAATAAGGAACATGCAAAAGTCTTTTTTTAAATAAACACATTTTTTATTATAAATATCAGCTGTTTGTTCTTTTTAATAAAAACATTTGTTTCAGTTTTATGTTTTTAAAAACATTTGAAAAGTTTTTTTGTCTCAATTCTGTTTTGTTTTGAAAACACGGGTATTTTCCCTCTTATTTTATAAAAATTGAAAATACAAATAAATATAACCGGAAAATACAAAAACTTTCTTTAAGTATTATAAAATTCTACTTCTCCAGACAATATACCTTATATATTACTTAAATATTGCGCTGACTCACTTGCAAAAATAATCACAGATACCTTTAGAATTATTATTGATAATGGGCAAATTCCATCAATTTGGAAATCGTCACTTATTATACCTCTATATAAAAAAGGGGAAAAATCAGATCCAAACAATTATCGTCCAATATCGTTAACATGCACCCTGTGTAGGATTTTAGAAAGAATTATCGCAAAACAATTAGTAAAATACTTAGAAGATAATAAGTTCTTTAATCAAAATCAGTTTGGGTTTCTTAAATCAAGATCCACAACAACACAGTTATTATCCACAATGAATGATCTATATAATGCAATACAAGATGGATATAGTATAGATATCATATACATTGACTTTGCTAAGGCATTTGACACTGTACCGATAAATATTCTTCTAGATAAGATAGTAAAAGCAGGCATTAGTGGAAAAGTCTATACATTTCTTAAAAATTTTCTATCTGATAGAAATTTCAAGATTAAGATTGGTGACCAAATATCTTGCGAATATGAAACATTCTCAGGTGTACCTCAAGGTAGTGTCTTAGGACCTCTTCTATTTCTTATTTTTATAAATGATCTTCCGAATCAAATCCCTGAAAACATTGGAATAAAATTATATGCAGACGACGTAAAACTATATGTAGCTCATAGAAATGGCATAGAAAGGGATGAACTTAATAAAGCTTTATGGAAACTTGAAAAATGGACAGAGTTAAATGGTTTAGAAATATCTCCTCATAAGTGCTTTGCCTTATATCTAGGGAAAAATAACCTGAAAAGAGAGTATAACATTCATGGATTAAAAATACAAGAAACAGAATGCATTCGCGATCTTGGAGTTTTAATTGATTCTAAAATATCTTTTAATAACCATATAAATATGGTTATAAAAAATGCATATCTAAAAAGTTTCCAAATAACAAGAATCATTAAGTCTAGAGACTTAAATCTTCTTGTTAATATTTATAAAACTTATATAAGACCCCAGCTAGAATATGCAACTGAAGTGTGGAATCCACACATGAAATATCAAATAGATAAAATCGAAAGAATTCAAAAACTATTCACTAAGAATATTTACAAAAAATGTGGATTAATCAAGGTCCCATATGAAGAAAGATTAAATACTTGCAAACTTGAAAAGTTAATAGATAGAAGAAAGATTGCCGATCTTTCCACTGCTTTTAAAATTATAAAAGGGTTTACATCTCTTAATTCCCAAAATTATTTTAATTTTTCAAATAGATCACTTCGCAGGCCTCTACTTCTAAGGATTAAAAAACACACGAACAGAACAAAAAATAATTTTTTTCATAGGGTGGTAAATAAATGGAATAATCTTCCAAATGAATCATTTAAAATAAATGATCCCAAAAAATTTAGAAGTTTTATTAAATTATCACAATCTAAATAAAATTTTTGGAAAAATTAACCTTGAGCGTTATTGTGTTTTTTTTATGTGTAATATTAAATTCATTTATTTTTATTGTTCATTTTTAAAGTTATTTTTATTTTTGATGTTGTTTCCTACATATATATTTTTTTTTTGACATTAATTTATTTTTTATGTTTTTTTTTGCACCACATTAATGTATTTTAAAATACCTGTGGTTTGCTGATAAATAAATAAATAAATTATTTCAATGTATTTTCCGTATTTAATGTATGTATTTTCCGGAAACTATTAAAATCCAAATTGTATTTTCGTTATTAACTGTTGTATTTTCCGGAAAAACTCATAAGCGTATTAAGTGTATTTTCCGGAAATGTATTTTTTAAAATGTATTTTCCGGAAATGTGTTTCTCCCCATTTTAGTTTAATATACATAGACATAAAATACAAAACCGGAAGAAATACATTATGATAGAATCTTATATTTTTAAGGAAATACAATAATGTGAAAAATACATAATAAAATTTAAATTAAACTTAAAACAATGTCAACACGTCAAAGACACAGCACTGGGAATTTAAATACTGAAGGTTTAAATTCTAATAAAGAAACACCCAAGAAAGGCATTTTAAAAAGAAGACCACACACATTTCATGTAAGTTCTGATTTTTGTATTTTATAAAATTCTGATTTTTTAAAAATTAATTATCAGAATTTTCAATTTTATTCTGATTTCAGAACAATTAATAATTATCATAATATTTTCCGGAAAGTAATTAAATTCTGATTTTTTATTAGCTTCTCTGATTTTTGTTCTGATTCACTTTTCAGATTATTATATATTCTGATTTTTTGTATTTCTGTACGGAATAAATTCTGATTTTTTAAATTAATTATCAGAATTTTTAATTTATTCTGATTATCAAATAAATTCTGATTTTATTTTATTCTGATCTCTGAACAATTACTAATTAGTTAAAAATATAGGTATTCTGATTTTTAATTGTAATTTAAGCAAACCAAACCAACATCCAGCGGTCTTTTACCTTTACTTTTAAAACCAATTGAAAAAAAGAGTAAAGTGTCTAAAAATAAAGAAGATCAAATAAAAGACAAGAAAAAAGATGGAAATATTCCTGAAACTTGTTTGGAAGAAAAAATGCCTGAGAATATTCTAGAGGCCCAATTAATACAAAAAATACCTCAACGGGTTGAATTTGCTGAAATGAATGCTGGTGGATTTTTTGTTTTCTGGGATTTCTCAATAAAAATTAATTTAAAGTTTTTGGTGGATCCATAGAGACTGAAGGAGGTGTCAATAAAAGTTTTGATAGTGTTAATGAAGTCGAGAAAGCTTGTACCCCAAAAATTCAAAATTTAGAAGAGCCAGAAGTAAAGGAAAAAGAGGAGGAAATTTTGCCTAAACAAAAAAGAAAAAGGGAAGGAAAAAAGCCACCAGAAGCTATTGTTTCCCCTTTAATAAGGTGACAAAAAAATAAATTTTTCAAAGTTATAAAAATGTTTAGGCAAAAACAAATAAAAGAAACAACATTTCCACCTCCTCCTACAACACCTCAGGAACTGCCTTCTTCATCTAGTAGGGGAGAGGAGGATAAAGGCATCGATCCCAGTGTTGTCTCACAAATTGTAGGGAATTGGTGGTTTGGGGAGCGGTCTGAATCTAAGGAACAGCAGCAAATACAAGCTGGTCAAGAAGACAGTGATGCTCTCAAAAAGGAATTAAGGTCAGTCAAAAATTGTAAATTTTTTATGTTCCCTTCGCATTAGGGGTAATGTGAAGAGAACATTCTCTAAAAAATAAAAAAATCCAAATTAATTATAGACGTGCCCAACTTGCTTGCAAAGAGAAAGAGCGCCATTTAGGCCAGTTGCGTGAAAGACTTGCTGAAATTGAAACAATTGTTTCGTCTGGAAGGAGTGCACAACTTGCATATTGTGCCCAATTAAGCCAACGGTTATCAGAAAGGGAACAGGAATTTGTTACTGAAATGGATGGACTTATAGCAAGTCATGAACATCGTGTTAGGCAATTAGTTCAAGAAATTGTTGATTTAAGGGCTGAATTGGCTAGGAAAGATAAGTATGTGTTCTTTGAAGAAAATAATAATACTCTAGTATTACTTAGAAGCTCGCCCTTAAGAAGCTCCCCTTCTTAAATTCTATGTTCCCTTCGCATTACGAGGTAGTGCGAAGGGAACATTTTCTATAAAATAAAAATTATAATTTTTCCATCCTTATAAAGTAAGCTGTAAAAAAGTGAAATAATTTAGAGCTCTAGTGAATAATTTAGAGCTCTTCTGGCTTATGAACAACTTTCCCATCAAGAACAGTCAACTCAAACAGATAATATAATTATCACAGAAGATTCTACATCAATTAGTGGGTTTGTAGGGCAACAAGAAAGTGAGGGAAAATTATTAGAAAATAAAATAGA